ACAGCCTCAGCCCCCCCCCCCCCCCCACTTTCACCAGTCTATGGAAATAGACACATGTTTCAAGAGGTATAACACAATCACAGACAGAAAATACATAAAGATTGCACTTGGGACCCACTCAAGGCTGGGTCGACCTCAGAGAAAATGTAATTTGTTTTAAAAAAAGTCCGGCTTTGTCTGGACGAAAGGTCATTTAGAAGTGTAAAAAACAGTCTAGTAGGGTCGCGCAGACTCGGTTAGAGAGACTAAATCTGGCAATGGTGCAAGACAACATAAATTACATGAGCGATTGGCACATAATAAAATCCTGCATGTTTAGCAAGCGGTTGAATATGAAGAGAAGAAAACAAAAATAGAGGCCAAGAAAGGAGATATAGTAGCATAATGTGTAGAAGAAGACGGAGATGAGAAAGGCAAAAAGGCAAAAAAGGCTACCAAAGTGGATGAGGACTGTATGTGTGTGTGTGTGATAGCTTAATTCAACGAAAATAGGAAAGATTTTAAAAAAATGTGCAGAAAGGAAATAATAAAGAAGCTACATACCAGGTCTGACAATTAAGTAATGAGACTGATTTTAATATGGCCAAGGTAAAAATGCCATGAATCAAAGCATGGAATCCAAAGAGGCAACCTTTGTCTATGATCTGGCAACTTTTCATCGCCACCCGATAAGCAGACAACAAACACGCCGCCATTTTGTTAACCTTGTCAGAAGTGCATCGTTTCGTAATCAGCATGGAGCAAAAAGGCTAATATTAAATTCTGTTTAAAACTCAGAAAAAGCGCTAATGCAAGAGTTAAATTGATGCGACAAGTTTATAGGGTAATTGTTTATCTCGTGCACAGATTTTCAGCTTGTATTCACGATTCATTAGTGGTGTGGATATGCTCACTAATGCAACTAGACCTGGACGCCCAATTTCTGTTCGTAAGGAGGAACTCATTGCAAAATTCCGAGAATGGGTACGAGAAGATCGTTGTTTGTTGATGGTAGATAAATTTCGTGCTAATACAGAGACTATTCATACAATTTTAAGGGAAGATTTTGGCAGAAAAAATTTACTTGTCGGATTTTATTCAACACCTGGCAATTGTTTTCCTTCTTCATGACAATGCACCAACTCAAAGGGCGGTAGCTGAACAGGAATTTTTGGCCCCAAAACAAGTGCGTGTTTTCAAGCATCCACCATATTCCCCAGATTTGTCTCCCTGATTATTTTCTATTCCTAAAATTAAAGTTGCCATTGAAAGGACGCATCTTTGACATTATTTATGATATCCAAAGGGCCATAACATCGACTTTAAGGACCGTAATGATATAAGAACTACGGTGGTCCTTCCAGTGTTTGTTAGATCGTGACACTCGCTGTATCAATGCACAAGAGGCTTACTTTGAATAAAATACAGGTTATATCTTCAACTGTTCATTATTTTAATTGTTATGGAATTAGTCTCATTACTTAATTGTCAGACCTTGTAGGTAGGAGACGGTAATATTCATATCTGCAGTAACAGCAGCATTGTCAATAGAGTAGTGTTATTTGTGGTAGTTGTAGCAGATAAAACCATTCACCGTCCTTATTTAGGATGACATTTTTCGTTATTTGAAGCCCCACCCTGGCTCTTGCCGGGTGCTGCAATATAGGCAGGCCATAAATATGCCCTAAAGGCTGAACGCGGTTTCTGGGACCTCTCCACGGTGATCCCCATCCACATTGTGTCATCAGGTGTTTATTATTGTGTGATGTCCTGATGGGGCAGAAAGTCAGTCAGTCGTTGTAGCAGTCGTGATATAAAGTGGTGGTAGTAGTAGTAAAAAAAGTGGTAGAAGTTGTTGTGGTATTAGTAGTAGTGGTGGTTTTAGTGGTAGTATTATTAGTGGTAGTTTTGGTATAAGTGGTAGTGGTAGTAGTAGGGTTGTTGTTGTTAGTAGCAGCAGTATTAGTAGTAGTAACCGTAGTAATAGCATCAACAGCAGCAGTACTAATATATATATAATAACAGCACAAGTAGTGCAGCAACAGTAGTAGTGCAGAAGCATTAGTAGTAGTTGTAGTAGTGCAGCAGGAGTAGTGCAGTAGCCGCGGGAGTAGTACAGCAGCAGGAGTAGCAGAAGTAGCAGTGGCAGTAAAAGCAGTAGTTGCAGTAGTAATAGCAGCTGTAGTAGTAGCCTCACTAGTAGTATCGGTAGCAATCGTTGTCGTATCGGCATTAGTAACAGTAACTGAGGTTGTTGCAATACTAGTAGTAGCATCAGCAGCAGAAGGAGTAGTGTTATTCTCAACCCTTCATTTTCCCCCCATGTGGTTTACATGTTATTTTACTTACATCCTGCAGTGGACATTGTTGTGTACCCAGAAAACTGTTCATGTGTATATATCGCATCCCTCGCTTCCTCCCGTTGTTAAATGACGCTGTAATCTGCCACTGTTGATGGTTTCTTTGGCTTTCAAGTTAACATTGTTTCTCTTTTCTTACCGATCACTAAATGAAAGTCTTTGATCTGTGCGGATACCTGCATCTATTTAGCTGAAGATGTTTGAGAAGAAATACAACTTATGATGGCAACAGAGACCCTCAGAACCCATGAACTTGTCGTTGAAAGCCTTTTTTTTTTAAGGGGGCTGATCTTCTTTTCATTCTCACTGTAAGTATTTTTTAGCAACGGGATGTTTATTGCATTTGGTCTTCTGCTTTTTCATTTGAAGCCCCTTGTGTATGTATTGAAATAGTGGTAAAGTCTATACTTCGCATGTAGGGGAAAAAATGCGAAAAACGAAGAAATGAAGTCATAAAAAAATGTGCTCCATAGGCAGTCAAGAAACAGTATGCAGTGAATGGCTGTCGTCAAGAGAACAAGATGCATACTTATGTCGTATTTGTAACAGATTCTTAAAGCTTGCTGAAAAAAAGGTGAAGATAGGGTTGCTTCGAGCAGAGTGGCAAGCCTCACTTTAAAGGTCACAGTAGTGAGCATACTTTGGATTTTTTTTTTCCAGGCCATGCGTGGGGAATGAACAGGCAGATTGGCTGGATCTGCATCGCTGGGTGGTGAATTGATACATGACAAGTCAGATGTCGCCAGAGTCCTTTGGAAACAAGTAATGAAGTCAGAAGAGAAACTAGATTATTATGGGCTAGAGAGAATGATGCACCTGAGTGTGACTAAATGGCCCGGCCGGCACACTACGCTAAGAAGAGAGGCAAGACGGACATATAACCAGAATACGGCCGGCACCATTAGTATTGGAACTCTACCCTGGCTGCTGAAGATGCAGACAAAGTGCGTATGGGAATGCCCTGAGTGCTTTGATGTCAATTCTTGACTAAACTCAACTTAACTGGCTGTTGTCTGCTAGACTAATTCTTAGCACTCAAAACAGAATGGTGTTATCAATGGATGCATTTAGAATTACCATTCATGAAATTAAACAGAAACGTTGCAGAATTAGTTAGTTAGTTAGTCTTTCCTCTTGTGTCGAGTGCGGCACATAGGGCAGAGGTCATGACTCTCCATGCATGGCGGTTCGTTGCAATCTGTTGTAGGTCTTGGATGTTTGAGTGGCCCATGAGTGAGCCTTCCCTGATGATAGTTCTTCGTAGGGTTTCCCTTGGTCTTCCACGAGATCTTTTCCCCTGTGGTGTCCAAATGAGGGCTTGGTAAGGAAGTCTTGATTTATCCATTCTAAGGGCGTGGCCGACATAGTTCTAGCGGCGTTTTCGTATAAAATTAGACACATACTCTTGCCTGGATTCTTGCCTTATTTGTGAATTGGTTCGGAAATCTGACCATTTGAAATTTAGTATTCTTCTAAGGCATTTATTTTCAAAAAGTGTCTAATTTTGTGTCTAGAGTTTTCGTTGATTTCCAGCTCTCGCATCCATAGGTTAGTACTGGAATCACACAAGAATTGAAGATCTTGAGTTTTGTGTGTTTGCTAAGTGTCTTTGATTTCCAGATGTTGGACAGTTTATTGAAGGCACTAGATGCCAGTGCTATTCTAAATGGTATTTCTGGTGCGGTATCTCCTGTAGATGACATCTTGCTCCCTAGATAAGTGAAACTGTTGACTTTTTCAAGGCTGTTGTTGTTCACCGTGATATCAACTGAATTGTTGTTAAGGTTTAGAATTTTTGTTTTTGTGGTGTTAATGTGGAGTCCAATTTGTTCTGAGAAATTCTGGAGTCGATTGGTTTTTTCTTGGGCGTCTGTGTGTTCTGAACTCAGGAGTGCTATGTCGTCAGCGAAGTCTAGGTCTTCCAGAATTTTGTCAACCCATGTAATGCCTAAATTTGCGTTATTTATGCACTTGCGCATGACCCAGTCGATTGCTATACCAAAAAGCATCGGCGATAGGACACAGCCTTGCTTCACTCCTGTTTCCACCGGGAACCAGTCAGAATTGCCGGAATCAGTTCTTACACAGCATCGTGTTTCATTATAAAAAGATTTTATGATGTTGATATATTTGATGGGGAAACCATAGATGTTAAGCAATTTCCAGAGTGTTGGACGATGGATACTGTCGAAGGCTTTTTGGAAGTCGACAAAGTTGATCAATAATTTCGACTGGAATTCTGTAGAATCTTCAACAATTATTCTAAGAGTAAAGATGTGGTCTATGCATGACCGCTTGGATCTAAAACCGGCTTGTTCTTCCCTTAATCTTTCATCTATAGATTTTTTCAATCTTTCTAGTAGCATACTACAAAATAGTTTCCCTGGTATCGAAAGCAGGGTGATGCCTCTCCAGTTGTTACAATCGGATAAATCACCTTTTTTAGGTAATTTGAAGATTACACCATCTTTCCATTGTTGTGGTGGGTATTCGTTTTGCCAGACTTCATCCATCAGCTGGAGCAAATGTTGCAGGGTGTTTTCATCCGCTGCTTTGAGCATTTCCCCTGAGATGTTGTCCTCTCCGGTAGCTTTGTTTTTTCTTAATTTTTTAAATAGCTGTTTTAATCTCCTCTACTGTGAATGACTCGCTGGAGGCAACTAGTGTCGGTGTAATAATTTCTTCTTCTAGATTGGGAATGATGTCAGGATTTGGTCTATTTAATATTTCCTTGAAATGTTCTGCCCATCGCTTTGTTTGTTGGTCGTCGGATAGCAGTAGTTTACCCTGCTTGTCTTTAATGGGTGTATTTAGTGTAGGTGAGTGATTGCACAGTTGTTTCATAATATGGAATACGGCTTTGTTGTTTCCAATCTTGGCAGCTGTTTCAGCATCGAAGGCGAGGTCGTGTATGAAGTTCTGTTTGTCTTTCCTTGCATTTGATTTCACTTCTTTGTCTAGCGTGCTGTATTTTTCGTATGAAGATGTGTCTTTTTTGGATAAAAGTGTTAATTTTGCTTGTTTCCTTTCTTGGATTTTTGACCAAGTGTTGTCGCTTAGCCACTTCTTTTTCTGCTTTTGTACATAACCAACTGTGTTTACTGCAGCGTTCGTCAGTGTGTTCTTGAAAAAGTCCCAATTTTTGTCTATGTTATTTGTAGTATCCGCATTACTAGTTTTGGTTACATAGGTCGTGAGTATCTCTGCATTAAATGCGCTTTGATGATCTTTTGACAAAAGGGCTTGTAAGTTTATTTTCTTATTTCTGGGTGGTTTAAGTAGAGACTTGAGTTTAATTTTTAGTTTGGCAATACAAAGATTGTGATCACTGCCAATATTAGCTCCCCTGCAGAATGTATTTGACAAAATATGAAAGATTGTATCTGACAAAATATGAAAGATTGTATCTGACAAAATATTAAAGATTGTATCTGACAAAATATGAAAGATTGTATCTGACAAAATATTAAAGATTGTATCTGACAAAATATGAAAGATTGTATTTGACAACATATGGGGAGACATGCTTAGTTACGTCTCGAAACCCACGTTGGTCAATTCCAAAATCTGTTCACTGGTACTTTCCGCTTCCCCTAAAACATATATGGCGGCGTCCATGGCTTAGGCGTTGCGAGTCCGACTCGTAATTCAAACATACTGCGATCGAAACAAACTGCTGGCTGCACAGATTTTTATTATAGTATGGGAGGGGAAGGGAGTCGCCGTTACGTAGCGACTAGACGCTCGCGTGTGAATCGGAAGGTCGTGTTCGCTCCCCATGAAAAATGACCTTCACTCGCAGGTTGACCCAGCCTTGTGTGGGAACTAAAGGCAGTCCCTGGAGGTAAATGTGACCGGTGTGATGCTGACCAGATCACCCATCTTGTGACGTTTGGTCTATAAAATATATGCCCTATACGCCTAAAGAGGTCCTTTACTTATATGGCGTCGCAGGTCGACCCAGCCGAAACTGGGTACCATGATAGCCGTCCTGGAGAAGTAAAGACGGCCGCGTTATGCTAACCACATTACCCACTTGGTCTGTAAGAAATATTTGTGCTCTTTCCATATGCCAGATGCGCCTAAACAAGTGAAAGGGGATCTTTCCTTTTTTTAAAAACTTTTTTAAAAACTAAAACATAATTAGACCATAGAAGTAACTATCGTAACTAATTTAATGACTTTTATAGCATATTTTTTTTACGAGTTCATGTATTTAGATTTTTACCAACTGCATGTAAAATGTAGTGATAATTAAAGAAACACACACACAAACATATATATATATATATATATATATATATATATATATATATATATATATATATATATATATATATATATATATATATCGGCGTAATGCTGACCACATTACCCACAGAGTGCTGATGGTCTGTAAAAATATGGGACGCTCTGCCCATATGCCTGATGCGCCGAAAGGCGTGAAAAGGGAACTTTACTTTTATATATATATATATATATATATATATATATATATATATATATATATATATATATATATATATATATATATATAATTTTATGTGTTGTATCTTTCAGGGACTTGTCTAGACCAGGAGAATGGGTGTGGGTGACGAAACGGCGCCACGTTTTACCCAGAAACCAACGTTGAAACAGGAAGATAATGGACAGAGGCTGGTGTTTCACTGTGTCCTCCAAGCTTCGCCTCAGCCGGACATTGCTTGGTTTTTAGAGACAACCCCAATTCAGGAAACGGCCAGAACACGCATGCGCATAGAACCAGCAGGTGGATCCTCTTACAATGTCATTTTGGAGATACTAGGTGTTGCACAGAGTGATGCTGGTACCTACAAGGTTGTGGCCAAGAACAAACTTGGAGAGTCGTCTGCGTCTATCAATTTGAATTTCAGCGGTAAGTCATTGTTTGAGATAGGCTTATAATCTTTATCTTTCACAATCCATATCGTGTGACTTCTGGTAAAAAGTTCCAGTCCACCAATGGCGCTGAAACCTGGCAACTAGCCACTTGCCCCTCCCCCCCCCCCCCAACCTCTTTTCTCGTGTGTCTAAAAATATTCAAAGCTCGCTCCCATAGAAGATGTGTAACAGAGCTAAGGGCTCTATTAGCTAGGAAAAAGTTATCTGTCTAAGTAATTTCGAATACATTTCATGTAGGTTCAAATGTACTATTATATATTTGTGTTATTATGTATGTAAGTAAGTTTTACCCCATTAGAACATCACACAAAGGGATAGATCCCCCGGTGACACCCTTCCCCCTCTACATCAATGATGGCGATATCATCGGAACACGTTAGCATGTGCGCTGGTGTCTGAGACACCATCAGAGTAGAAACTCAATCTAATCCGCTCATCGGTTAAAAACAAATCACTGACACACTACAAGCAAAACGCAAAACACATAAAACTGCACACACACACACACACACACACACACACACAAACTACATAGTAATCAGCTAACTTCAGGATTCTTGATCAGCTCGATTTCCTTCCCGACGTCCAGTGATTCTTCGCAGATAAGTTCTCTCGGCTATTCATTGCCTCAGCCGCGGGACTTACATTATACTGAATTAGGTCTTGTCTCAGCCGCATGACCATTGAGAGACATATCGGACATTACCTCGGCTTCGGGAAAGCCTACAAAAGACAATTTGGTCACTACCTCGGCTCTGGGTGAGCCTACAATAGACATCGGACATAACGTCGGCTTCGGGGAAGCATACAATAAATTGAATTATGTCTCAGCCGCATGACCATCGAGAGACATATCGAACATTACCTCGGCTTCGGGAAAGCCTACAAACTGACATTTTCGGTCACTACCTCGGCCGAAGACCTACAAATTGACATTTCTTGGCCGCAAGGCCATCGAGAGACATATCGCACTCATGTCTCGACCTTCTGACCATCGAGAGATACGTCACCACTTTTGCCAATGTCTCGGCCACTCAGCCATCGAGAGACAATCGTCTCATCACTGCCAGTGCCTCGTGTTTTCCGAGGGACATTTCCACCACAATTACCTCGGCTTTGGGAGAGCCTAAAGTTAAATTCGAGCGACATTACCTCAGCCGCAGCCTACAATGTGGTAAAGTCAATGTTTAAAAACGTTATTGCGTAACTGGCACACAAGACTCCCTAATATTTGAACAGACCTACAGTTAAACCTTCAACTGATCACCCCTAGTCAAAAATAGACACAGACCACTCCTAGTAGAACAAAACCGTTAAATAACATATAGTCGAACAAAATCAACTACACAGGCCGCACCTATATAAATTCTGAACTAAATGTGAATCAACATGATAATCTGAGCCGACTAGACTTGTCAAACTAAACCACTCCACAACGCTACTTATCCGTGAACAAGATGATGTAACATCTAACTAATACACAGAAAAAAAGTCTTCAATAATGAAACCACACACGTGGACGCCATTCATTGATTAAATTATGTAACACACATATTCTAAGTACGTAATTAAAAAGAGTACGTGGGCGCCCTTCAAAAACCAATCAAAAACATGAATCACGCTGATTACCCTAACTAGACTAGACACAAAACAAATCATGGTCACCTAACCTGCCCAACGACGTCATTTGTACTAGAACGGAAAAGCCCTAAGTACCAAGGAAAAAAAAATTAAGAAAAAGAGTTCCTTAGACGGGGACGAGAACATAAATATTATAGCCCAGACATGCTATCTTCTGTGTACAGTCTGGATCAGCAGTAACTAGAAATAAACTAGGCACACTAACCACAAGTCCCAGTCTGAACCAAAACAACTGGAACTATGATTACCACATTGAACATCTGTTTATTTCACTTAACAAAAATCAGCGTGGTTCACAAATAACAATATTAAACAACAACCGACGTGCTCGACCAGAATCTAAAGTACTAATCATCTCCAGCTAACAAGGAAATATGATAATGACACCATACGCTCAGCGAGATTATCTTAACAATGGCAAAAACTAAAACATTTTCAACATGTAGGTTAAGCTTCAAAATGTCACCAGACCAACAAAACAGCTATAGCGACCTGCCATCAAACTATCTCTTATCGAGGATGTACAATGGAAATCAAATCTAACACCACCTAAGCAAATGAAACGTACCGTGAAACAAGCCAGGCGACCTGCCGTCTCCTGCAGTCACCCGTACCCACGCTGTCTAGCCCAGTGTGCAGTACCGCAACGGCTGAGTCGGTGTTCTGCAGGGTCGGTCTGGAAGAAAATAGGAGACCAACACTAAGTAAGCTGGCTTTTTTTTAAATAAACAGTGGCTAGACTTTTCGCATTCGTAAACCAAACTAAATTAAGGAATCGGCCAAAGAGACTAAAATGCTCAAGCTGCCGAACAGCAGTCTTTGGCCTCCTATCACATAACTAACTATTTTCGCGTAGCAGAAGAGGGCTCTGATTAGTTGTTAAACACTTTTTTTTTCTTATATTTATAAATATAAAATCCATGGTGGTGACTGACCGACTGACTTTTTACACCACTAGAACATCACCCTGAGCGATAAACACTCGGTAACACAAAGTACCACCATTCGGATAAGGATTGCCCATAGAGAGGCCCCAGTATCCCGTTCAACCATCATGTTTTATTCGAGCCCCAGGCTACAACCAGGGCGGGGCTTCACAATAACGAAAAATGCATCCCACATGGGGACGGTGGTAGGTTTTGAGTTAAATTGTAAGCGATGAGAAAATATCGTCATCACCCAGAAATATAAGTGTAAAATACATGCATTTGTCAACAGTTCTTGAGCAAGTAAATTGATACAGCTATATTAAACCACCCATAACGTTTGATGCAGGATGTATAGACATCGTCCCAATCTTGGTCGCAATTTTTTTATATTTTTATTTTTAACATCTACGCCAGCTGTAGTCAGAACCCTAATATAAACGAACGGTTGAACAAGGTTTCTAGGACTTGCAGCCGGGCAATTCTCATCCGAATAGTAGCACTTTGTATCACCGAGTGCTTATCGCTCGTTGTGCGGTCCTGATTAGGTGTCAGGGCGCCAGATGTCTTGCAAAAATTAGAACAAGAACCGCGATGGCAGAAGCTGCCTTAACTATATTGAAAAGATACTCGACACTAAGATGTCACTGCAATGGGGAAGGAGTTAAGTTATTATTTAATCATGGGCTGACTTTAGATAGTTCTTATCCGCTTCCAAACTGAAAATAACCTTTCAACAGAACAGTTTGTTTTTGGGGTACAGTTGTAACCTTTGAGTGTAGTGACAGTGTAGACATTTGGGCAGACATCACTACCTAATAGTCCGTTACCTAGGTACCGCAATCTCAAGGCACAGTGGTCCACTGATGCTACCAGATCGCTTTAGCACCAATATGTGGCATTAACGCCAATATGTTGCCGAGCTGTGCAGCTTTACATGTTACACATGTCTAAATAATACCCTGGTTATAATGTTGTACAATTTTTTATACACTGGGTAAATTAACCCTCATTTTAAATGATCTACTGTCCTAATTTCTACTCTCTATGTTGTCTCGTATAGTTGGGGGTTTTCCTATATGCGTGGGTTTAATTTACTGTTCATGTTAAATAATCTATAAATATATGTATCCACAGGCTCTTTAGTACTATTATAATGTTGTATTATTTATTTACACTGTCGATGAATCATGTTAAATAATCCATTATTAGTTGTATCGTAATTGCCCTACCGTGTCTGTTATAATGCTTTACCAGCAGGCTCTGTGGAGAGCTTCCATAAAGACACCTTGGTTATTTACTGCACCTAGGTCAATTTTCAATTGTCTTGACATTGTCCAGCCATTGGATCAAGATGGACACGGGCGAGAGAGTAAGGTCGACGAAGTGCGCAACTCTTCCTCACTTAAATCTAAGTCCTTCCGCAAGTCAGTTTTATCCAGCTATCATCATTATCATCAACAACAACAATATATATATATATATATATATATATATATATATATATATATATATATATATGTGTGTGTGTGTGTAAATATATATATATATATATATATATACACACACCCATATATATATATATATAATTATATATACACACACACCCATATATAAATATATATATATATATATACACTCATATATATATATATATATATATATATATATATATATATATATATTTACACACACACACCCATACATATATATATATATATATATATATATATATATATATATATATATATATATATATATATATATATATATATATATTAGGGCTGTACCGAATAGTGATTTTCACTTTTCGGCCGAATACGAATAGTTGGACCAAATATTCGGCCGAGAACGAATACGAATAGTAAGTCATCATCATCAGGTGCTTTGCCGACTGGTGTGGGCGATTATGCCTCGCCACAATCTGCGATCTCCTGCAGCATGTATTAGTTCGTGTGCTGTCACACCTCCATGCCATGAAACAAGACTGTCAAGAATCTTCTCTTCCTCTATCCCTCCTTCCACATATCTTTCCAGTGGTCACCACGTGTTCCATTTTCCCTCATCTTATATCATGGCCGAAAAATGATGACTGTCTCCTTCTGATGTCTGTATTAAGTTGTCTTCAAGCTCCCGCCTGTATTAAGACTTCTTGGTTGCTGTTATTTTTTTTTTCTGCCCAGGGTATTTTAAGCATTGTTCTGTAATACCACATCTCTGAGCACCACTGGCCTCGGTTCGATGTTCATTCACTAGTCTTCACCCTTTTCATTGCAGGTTTATCAGCTTTTTTTGTAGTAAGCACCGCTCGCCCCAGTTCAATGTTCGTTCACCAGTCTTGTAGTGAGCACCGCTCGCCCCAGTTCATTGCTGGTTTACCAACCTTACTGTAGTAAGCACCGCTCGCCCCAGTTCGATGTTCGTTCACCAGTCTTCTTATAGTAATTAATCAAGTAACAGAAAGTTTTGTTTCCCCCCTCTGTTTATTTATAGGAATTCTTATAGTAAGCACCGCTCGCCCCAGTTCGATGTTCGTTAACCAGTCTTCTTGTAATAAGCACCACTCGCCCCAGTTTGATGTTCGTTCACCAGTCTTCTTGTAGTGAGCACCGCTCGCCCCAGTTCGATGTTCGTTCACCAGTCTTCTTGTAGTAAGCACTGCTCGCCCCAGTTCGATGTTCGTTCACAATGCAGGATATTTTAAGCATTGTTCTGTAATACCACATCTCTGAGGTTTCAAGAAATTGTTTGGCCTGCCTACCAATTGTCCAGGACTTACAGTCATTTGTTAAAACTGGATGTATGTAGCAAGAAAGAATTATTTTTCCAACCTTCAATGACAAAGAAATATTGCATAAGATGTTCTTAATTTTATAAAATGCAGTTTTTGCCTGTCCTATTCTGTTTCTTATTTCAGTAATGCATCTTCCATCTGAATTTATCCACGTGCCCAGATACTGAAATTTCCTTACTTGTCCCAAAATAAAACCATTGAATTTTATTACACATTTAGGAGTAATTATTTTCTTTGATACCACCATTACTTCTGTCTTCCCGCTATTCAAACTGAGGCCCATTCTTCCACTTTCGTGTATAAAATAGATCTAAAAAGAAAACATCCATAATGTCAAATGTATGCTGACATTTTACTTCACAAAATGTAGTACAGAATAGTAAACATTTAAATACATTTCATGTTTTGCATTCTTCAGTCAGTCAGTCTGTGGTAACTAATACACAGGAGTGAAAGTATTCTTAGTTTTATAACAAGTAATTAAACTTGTAAATTGTCACTGACAGCTTAATTAATCCATGAAAGCGGCATTAGCTTTCCACACCCAAAAAAATCGTTCCATGTTGTCAGCATTAAGGCAGCTTCTTGTCTCACTGAAGGCATTTCCAGCTTTACTAAACAGACTTTCACTTGGTACGCTCGAAGGTGGTGCACAGAGATAACGCTGGACAGTATGAACCAGGTGGGAAATCTTGACATGTTTATTTTCTACCAGTCCATGAACGGGTGAAAGGTAACCACTATTCGTATACGGCTCAATCGCAACTATTCGTCTGAATACCGAATAGTTACTATGTCCACTATTCGGCCCCGAAGATAATACGAAGCGAATATTCGGTACAGACCTAATATATATGTGTGTGTGTGTAAATATATATACACATATAAATTAAAGTTGAATTTTCTTTCATGTTAAATAACGAATTAAATGTATCCCCATGCTGACGATGTAAACCCAATCGGATGTTTCCAGGCAGCAAGAAACCGCAGTGAGTATAAGCTTTCATTTAATTTAGGTCAAATTTCCTTCTCATTATTAGCTGAGATCTGAATATCGAAAAGGGCTGGCTCATAAACATTTTTGTTTACTGTAAACTGAAATACTTCAGACACTGGTTTAGAAAAAACGGTAATAGAGGGGATATTACTACAAGGAGAAGATGCAGGAGTCGACTAGTACTTTTCCGTTGAAATACCGCTCATGTCAGTATAATTGCAAGGGCTTTGAACTGGAACCCATAGGGACATAGACATATTGGTTGACCACAAAGAAGGAAATGAGAGAGTGAAGGTAAACAAAAAATTGGATACAGACATTTAATGAATTGCATACGAAAACAAAGGTTATGACGACTTGGCATTTGTTAGTTGAAGGCCCATGCTTCATTTGACTGAAGCGCAGAAGAAAAAGAAGATCCCTCGTGTGATTTAAAAAAAAATTCTGTTTCCATACTACATATTTGGTTCTAAATAATATGTTTACACATAAAGAGGCTATTAAGATAAATATATTGACATTTATGCTCAAATCAGTAGAAAATTGGAGATAGTACAAATAAGCCAAATATGTGGATTTCTGGTATGAAATTTCCCATAAATATAATGTCAAAACACTAAAATTGTAGACTTAAGCAGAACAGACAGGCAAGAACACCACGGACATGAAAGTTCACGAGGTGGAAAAGTTGACAAGATACTAAGTGGCTTTCTGGCTATTTCTGATACCGATACTTTAAGGGCAGTTTTGCTCATCTGGGAACAATTTTAATCTGTCTCTATCTTTTTTTCTTTTGAATCAGATTTAGAATGCACACCTTTTTTTTTTGCAGTAATAATATTTTTGAAGGACAATACATTGTATGGTGTAACCAATAAAACAGCTGAATGCAGACATCATTGCCTCGGATATGTCAGCTATGTAAACCCTGCTGGACATGGGAGACATGGTTATTGTGTCCATATTACTTCTCGTCCTTTTTAGGATGAAATTTTTCGTTATTTGAAGCCCTACTCTGGCCTTTGCCAGGGGCCGCAATATAGCCTGGCCATAAATATGGCCTAAAGGCTGAACGCGGTTTCTGGGACCTCTCTACGGTGATCCTCGCCCACATGTTGGCACATTGTGTCATCGGGTGTTTATAGCTTGTTTGATGTCCTGGTGGGGTAGAAAGTCAGTCAATCAGTCTGGTAGACATGGGTAATGTCTGCTGGTGAAGGAGGGATTGAAACATATGGTATCAGACTACGACTGGCACCATTAGTATTGTAACTCGGCGCTGGCTATTGAGGATGGGGACAGAGCGGGTATGGGAATGCCCTGAGTGCTGTGAAGTCAATTCTTGACTCAACTCGACTATTAAAAATTAACAAGTCCGTGGCATATTTTCGAACATATGAGGGGTCTGGAGGTTTTGACTGTTCTGAAATACTAACCATTAGTATTGGAACTCTGCGCAGCCTGCTGAGGATGGGGACAGAGCGTGTATGGGAATGCCCTGAGTCCTGTGAAGTCAATTCTTGACTCAACTCGACTATTAAAAATTAACAAGTCCGTGGCATGCGTTCGAACATATGAGGGGTCTGGAGGTTTTGACTGTTGGGTAAGACTGCTTCAAACAAAAATGTATGCGGCTTGTCAAAGAAGGTCAAATACTGACGTGTGTAACCGGTTATCCCTGTTTATAATACTATGGTTAGAACACGTGAAGAGAGCCCGACTAGCACGAGGATAGACTGTTTGCCTGTCGGCCCGATGGTTGAGTTGGAATCCTCATTTAAGGGGAAAGTTTCTCAATGATCTTGGAACTTAGGTAACATCAGCCCCAGAAGAATACCAGGGAATTGTCGGAGAGAGTAAAGACTGTCCGTATAATATGGGCATGATCATCTATCGATTGCTGCTTGGTTTATATAAATATCGGCCTAGCTTGATACGCATACAAGCGTGGTGAGGAGACATTTTCTTTCCTTACTTTACTATTCAATATAAGTGTGCAAGGGGAGGATAATTTCTGTGGTCACCCGTTATAGTTGGTTGGCATGTTATATTCTCTTAGGCCTTGCGAGTCCGACTCACAATTCCAGCGATCAAAACCAACTGCTGGCTGCGTGGAGTTTTATCACGGTATAGGGCAACACAGGTCGACCCAGCCTAAAATGGGTACAAGGATTTATGTCCTAGGACAGTAAAGACGGCCAGCGTAATGCTGACCAAATTACCCACCTAGTGCCGATTGGTCTATAAAAATATGGGTGCTCTTCCCATGTGCCCGATGCGCTTAAAAGCGTGAAAAGGGATGTTTACTTTACTATGTTATATTCTGGTTATCAGCCAGGCTGCAATATCTGCTTCTGCGAACCCAACACTTCATTTTTCAGAAAGTTCTTAGTGTTGCTTTTCATGAACTGCTTGTTAATTTGAAAGGTTTTTTTTTTTCTCCCCAACCAAAAAACAGTCTTTGTTTTTCTACACGGGCAAATAAAGTGACGTGAAGCCGTGCAAGCGGGTGGTGAATTGAGTTAACAGATACTTTTTAGACATCATCTTTAATTTCAAAACGATGGACTAGATAATCACACAACAATGTCAATGATCACAGCACTACACTGGCTGTCGATTTATTGTTTGCTTCGTTTAAATTCTTATTTTACTGGCATCTTTGCTTTTATTTATTTCAGTGTCAAATGTAGTTTATAATAACATTTTACGAGTCTTGTGATATTTGTTTTGAAACATGTCTTGTGAGTTTGTATAATTGATTTTTTTTTTTGTTTATCATTATTATTAGGTTTAAGTTTTTTTTATTACGGTCGACCTCACAGCATATTGGGGATTATTTTTATTGTTGTTTTCTTCCATCACAAGTGATGATCAGTCCTTTCATACAATGGTTTTTATGAAGGCGCAGGTAGCTGATAAGGCTAGTTCAAGCACTGAAAGTTCTTGAGCATAGTGGACAGGGAATAGAAGCCGCATCGCTCTAGTGATTTGCTTCATTGTAGTTCCTGGCTTGTCTTTTCTAAATTGTTGCTGCAGTTGCTAAACTTCATGGGCCACAGCTCCTCGATGTAGAGAGGAGCGCCAGGATAAGCGGTCACGCGCAACGACTTCCCAGGTTCTAGGATCAATACAGAGGTCCTTCAGTGAGGTCCTTCAGTGAGGTCCTTCAGTGAGGTCTTAAGACTTTCCTGAAAAGTTTTTTTTTCTTCTGTCTGCCTTGAGAGCGTTTTCCTTTTCGTAGCTCACCATATAAAATTATTATTGGCAGTCGGTGGTCAGGCATGCGGACTATATGATCTGCTCAGCGAAGTTGTGATTGTTTTAGAATCAAACAGTCCAGCTCTGTCAACGACTTAAGTGTCGGGGATCCTGTCTTGCCATTTTATGTTCAGCAACTTTCTGAGGCATACTGTGTGAAAATGGTTCAGCTTCTTAGCATGTCGCTGGTAAACGGTCCATGTTTGCACATGCACAGAGAAGTACAGGAAGTACGCCAGCTTTGTACACTTTGAGCTTCCTCTGCAGGCTGATGCAAGCTCTATTCCAGACTTGTACGAAGTCTACCAAATACGCTGCTGTCAATATTGGTGTATCTGGTGACCACGTTAGCGCAGTCGATAGAAGTCTCGCTTTCAAATCCAGCTGCAACTCGTTGCAGCCCATAGCCGACGTTCGAAACCGGGCGGTTCCCGGGGTTCACCCAGCCTCTAGGTAGTGGGTAGAAGAGTTAACACTCTAGGGTAAATGGAGGAACGTCTCCGTAACTACGGAGTTGCGTGCGGACGGCGATATGGGTTGACAGTTTCTTATCGGCTGTCCGTACTGGTGGCAGAGCACTTTTAGTTTATAACCGTGTGCAGTGACGCTAGTTCACATCTCCCGACATTTTTTTTTAAAATTGATATATTGTTTACAGTTTATACATTCTTCTTTTTTCACGTTTACCGCCAGTAAACCTCAGCGGAAAGTTCTGGCTTATGGTCCAGCTCTGAACTTAGTCTCGTTCCAGAACTTGATTGTTGCGTGCACAACTGTTTTGCAGATCTGATTTATTTGTATGCAGACCGTTGGTTCCTTACTTTTCATGCAAGTGAGCTCTGACTTTCAAGGAACCCCTACTCTTACCACATGTTTATTGAGAAGGCAGTGGTTCTATTCTTGTTTTTTTTTTTCCTCGATTGGGCCTGGAACCAACACAGAGAATTGTTTAAATAAGAATTTAGCTTCTGTATTTCAAAACGTGCTTGTGCTTTTGCTGAAGTTGAACCCTTCCTTAGGTACGCACTTTTTATCAATTAACATAAAAGCAGCCGTTTCCATAAGTATTTAGATTCTAGGTTGAGAACTTTGATATTTCTCATCGTTTACAGAGGACAGGATGGCAAAGCTCCCCACTACACACAGAAACCTTCCATCAAACAGCAGCAGAATCTGCTTTTGATGACCTGCGTCCTGGAAGCTAAGCCAGCTCCCCAGATCCGTTGGTTTAAAGGCACAACTGAGGTGACACCTGGAGGGAGAATCTCCATAAGCTTGAAGCCAGAGAGTGGGGATGTGTATACAGCAGTGTTACAAATTCAGGTGGGTTATCAGGCGTCAATTCTCAAACGTGTGCACTTAGGATGACATATGCAGGATTAGGGTTAAGGGTATATGCGAATGTATGAATTCAGATTGTGTAGTCTGTTGGAAAGAGTTGTAGAAAGAGAGATAGAGGAAGACAGCGGGAGAAGATTTTTGACAGCCTTTTGTCATGGCATGGAGGGGTGTCAACACACGAACTGATACACGCAGTTGCGGATCACAGATTGTGGAGAGGCTTGTTCGCCCACGCCAGTCGACAAGGTACTTGATGATGATGAGTCTGTTGCATATATGTATGTATGTATATATATATGTATATGTATATATATATATATATATATATATATATATATATATATATATATATATATATATATATATATATATATATATATATATATATATATATATTTTATATCTCGCGATTCGTTCATTCCTTATCTTTTCTATGTTGTTCTTTCTATCCCATTCTTCTGCATATAAACTATTTTATCTCTTCTATTTGTATACCTCCTCCTCCCTCAAAGCTGTACTTTTCACTTTCATAAGACAATAAATAAATTGTCCGTCTAAGGTATAAAGACTTTCAGGTATACATTTCTATGTTGAAGCGTAATATGCCAGTTTAAAAAAAAAAAAGAATCCTCGGAGATGTGGTTTTACAAAAGAATTTTAAGAATTCCTCGAACAGCCCAAAAGAGTAGCCCAGATATTTTGAAATAGGCAAGGGCTCAAATGCAGTTCATCACAAACATCAGGAAGAGACAACTATAATGTTTTTTGTTACAAAATGGGAAGAAGAAAACTGGAGTGGGTTGTGTCCACTGACAAGTTATGTGGAAAAAGAGACGGATGAAGATAACGGGATACGATTCTTCACAGTCTTTTGTCATAACATTGAGGCATATCAACATAGAAACTAATAACAGATGCTGTTAAGATCGCAGATTGTGGAGGGGCATGATCATCCAGGACAGTGGAGACACTAGTCCAGGGGCTCCTAGAAGTAATAAGTAGAGCCTACACACCGCTGTACTTATGTGAGACATTACATTCAGTGAGAGAAACTGGTGTACAAGAAAAAGACACGATAAGAATTCCAAAGCTGGAACTAGACACACACATTAAGAAGATTTTTTTTTCTGCAAGTTTGTGGTGGCGGGCTGAAATATGCATTAAAGTATAGTAAAGAATCCTTTTCCACGCCCTTAAGCGTATTGGGTATATAGGGAATATAGGGTATATAGGGTATATAGGGTATATAGGGTATATAGGGTATATAGGGTATATAGGGTATATATGACTAGATCTATGTTTAATACTCCATTTAGAACTTGGTGGGTGATGTGGTTAGTATCATGCCAGCCTGACTTTTACGTTCCAGGACTGCACCTGGTACACGCTCAAGGCTGGGTCGGCCTAGAAACCAGGACTGCACCTGGTACACCCTCAAGGCTGGGTCGGCCTAGAAACCAAGGTCATTTCTGAAGAAAAGTCCTGCTCCAATCTGCAATAAGGTTCATACAAAAATACTGAACTCTTAACTTCGAACCAGCTAAGCTGAGAACCAGGACAAATATAGGAAATAAAAGCTCCCTGTGTGTCGTTGATTACATCCTTTATTAAGTACCGATTATCAGTAATAATTTGAGGCAGAACCATAAAACCAATATGCGTATAAGGTGTCTTTCTGTCTCACTTTAACTGTTTCTCACTGTTGTTCGCGGCTAATTGATGGTATATGTTTCATCTTGCAAAAGACCACATTCAACGTTGTGAATCTTAGTTTTCGCATAATCTCACTCTGTCCTGAACCTCCCTAAAAAAAATGAATAAATACAGGCAGTAAAGATAGATTCTTGGTTTATTCTCCTCAAGGAACATTCCATCTGATGCTACAACCATGCCAAGATAGACAACGTTTGAAACGATTCACCTGTAGGAAGTTTTATTGCTTGTTACTACATCTGTTTTATCTGCAACACACACCCTTACAGACGCAAGGCCGTTCGTGCTTTTATGCAGAGGAAAGAGAAAATATTACCAATTTGAGACTAGAAGTTTGAATGTCCTGCCGAGACGTGGAAACTTGGTGGCATCCACGCCTTGAACTCCCCCTTTAAAAAGTGTGTAAAGGTGCTATTCCACTATCCCCCCGCATACCTTTTGTGTTATTTTAAAAATATGGTTATACTTGTCTTTCGTCGTCATTCTTGTCCGGTTGTGCTATTATATAACACATAGGGCTCGCAGTCTATTTCTTTATTTCGTTATATCCTGTGCAATCCCTTCGATATCAGGGATGAAATTTAGTCAAACACCTTCGGTCTCTCTCGTCAACGTTCCTTTTAGTGTTTCTTTTGAACGTCGTCGCTTCCTCAACTCCTTTATTTCAAGTGTTAGTGCCTGCTTGGTGATTTTCGTCTTTCTTTGTCTTTCAAACGGTTTGACCATTTAACAAGTTTGGCAGCAGACAGGGCACACAGAGAGCAATTTTATATAGATACAGTGGTAATAGACCCAGAGGTCGACCACGCAGAATATGGACCGCAGAAAAATCAGAGACACTAAAAAGTATTATGTACGAAGCGAACAAAAGGACCCGTTCTAGAGATCTCTTCCTCCCCTGACACTGCGAAGCATTCCGTGAGTAGAGAAAATAAGAGAGCAGAAAAATAAGAAGAAGAAGCAAATTTATTATTATTATTATTATTATTGTCATTATTATTATTGTTGTCATCTATTTGAATTAATCGATCATCGCTGATTATTTTTACAAATAACTTTAAGATTGAGCTATATCTTGAGATGTTAAAATGCAACATCTCTGACTACATGTGTTAATTTTGTGTATAATGTTGTAATCAATTAGACTCCAGCAGCGGAAGATGGTGGAATATACAAATGCGTTGCTACTAATGAATTTGGTGAATCCAGTGCTAATATCACACTTAACTTCCAAGGTAAGCTACTTCTTGTTTGTTCTACCAGTCACCAAACTGTCTATAAAAAATCTTATCTGCTAATTGTTTCTGTCGTAATCTAAAACGTTATAGTAGCAGTAATTGAAATATAAATATCCTCTTCACCTTATCGAAAAGGACTGATTGTCTACACCAGAAGAGACAATCTAAAATCTTTGGTAATGTCATGAGCATGAGAAATCTGGTGTACATCGTAACGATGGGAAATTCGGAGGGGAACAGAGACCAAAAAAGAAGATGCCGAACAATTGGACAACAGGGTATGGAAAATCATCTTACTTACTTTACTTTACTTTTTCCTTCCACGTATGCCGCTAAGCGTTGTGGGGAGATGCAAGTTCCTGTCATAAGCAAGGCGGGCAGCATCTGATGTTCTGAGGCCATGCTTTTGGCAGGTTTCGGAGACCCCGTCAATCCACAGTTTCCTTGGTCTTCCTCTTGCCTTATATCCTGAGCTTCTTTGGTTGAAAATTTGTGATGTTATTTGATCATTTTTCATCCTGGTTAGATGTCCAAACCATTTCATTCTTTGATGTTCTATGTAGTCTAAACATGGTGTAGTTTTGACAGTGTTTCTAATGTCTATATTCTTTATCCTGTCTAGTCTGGTCTTATTCGCTGCTTTTCTTAGACATTTCATTTCACAGACTTCTATTTTTCTTTCATGGGTCTTGTTGATTGTCCATGTCTGGCACTGGTAGCAGAGTGTTGGAATGAAGATGGTGTTTATCAATTGTCTTTTGGTCTTCATGGTTATATCTGGATGTTTAAGCAGAGGTGATAGTTGGTATGTGACAGCATTTGCTTTCTGTATTCTTGTTTCTATCTCTCTGTCCATTCTTCCATCCTCTGTAAATATACTGCTCAAGTATTTGAACTCTTTGGTTTGCTTGATTTTGGCACTTCCAACATTTATATTCAGTGGCCTGTGTGTTCTGCTGATCTTCATAACTTCTGTTTTTTCTGTACTGATTCTCATATTATGTTGTAAACAGCTGTTGTTGAGAGTAGTCAGATGTTCCTGTAGATCATATTCATTTTGATACAGTATGCTTTGATCATCAGCAAAAAGTAATTCGTTTATAGCATACACGTCTGGGTTTTGCTTCTACAGTGATCTTATCCATGTATGTTATGAAAAGTAATGGTGACAGTACACATCCTTGCCTGACACCAGTTGTGACTTTGAACCATTCAGAAAGACCACTAGATGTTCTTACTGCACTTTCACTTTTTTCATAGAGGGCTCTGATGTTGTCTAATAATTGACCCTGCACTCCGTAATCGTCAAGAATTCTCCACAGCACATCTCTGTCTACACGGTCGAATGCCTTCTCTTGATCTACAAAGACCACGTTCAGCTCTTTATCGTATTCGAGTGTCTTTTCACAGACTTGTCTTAGTGCAAATATGGCATCTGTGCAACCTCGCCCTTTCCTGAAACCGAATTGTGCTTTACTCAGTAGAGGTTCAACCTTTGCTCTTATCCTACCTTCTAAGATCTTTGCATACATTTTCCCCACATGACTTAGTAAAGATATTCCTCTATAAGTTCCACATTCTCTCTTGTTTCCTTTTTTCTTCCAGATAGGTACTACAACTGATCTTTGCCAATCCACTGGTACCTTTCTCTCTGCCCATGCTCTATTGAAAATTCTCTCCAGCCAGGTGATCATAGTGTCCCCTCCAGCCTGGATGACTTCTGTTGTTATTCCGTCGATACCAGCTGCTTTGTGTCTTTTACTTGTTTTGATAACTTTCTCTACTTCATCCCGCAGGATATGTGGTTCTAGATGATCTGGAGCCCTTGAATGGAATTCTGCTGTTTCATGTACTCCCGACGGGTTCAAAAGTTCTTTAAAATATTCCTCCCATCTTTTTTTAATTTCTTTTTGGCTGAATAATGGTTTTCCATTTTTATCGTTTATGACTGATGTTGGATTGAAGCTTTCTTCTCTTAATCGCATCGCTTTCACACTCTTATAAAAGTCTCTTGGTGATTCTGTACATAGCTGTGTTAGGTGTTCACCATACTTTTTCCATGATTCCTCTTTGGATTTCTTTATTGTTCTCTTGGTGTCTCTTCGAGTTAGTCTGTACCTAATGTAATCCTTTTCGTCTTTTGTTTTTAACCATATTTGAAACATCTTCTTTTTATTTGACACTGCTTCTTTAACTTCTTCATTCCACCAAGCGGTACCCTTTTTCTTGCCTTTGCCCGTCTTTCTGGTACCACACTTGTCTTTTAATATCTTCGTGATGGTTGATTTATAATAATCCCATTCTTCTTCAATTCTTACTGGTTCCTTGGCAATATCTGCAAAAGCCTTTGTTATTTCTAGTTCAAATTCATGTTTGATATTCTCTTCCTCTAATTTCTTAGTGTTGATGATTTCTTCACGTTTCTGTTTATGTAGACTGTTTCTACTTGAGTTGCATATGTTCATAACTACTGGGCGATGGTCTGAATCCAGTCCCGCATTTGGGACAGCTTTTGAGTCTCTTACCGTCCTCTTCTGCCGTTGTCTGACTAGTATAAAATCAATTTGTGACGCTTGATCTAAGTTGTTCCACTTGTACCACGTTTTAACCTGACTTTGGCGATGTTGGTAGAATGTGTTGGTAATGTAGAGATCTTGTTCAGCACACAAGTTTAACAGGTGTTCTCCATTGCTATTGCAATCTGTGGTTGTGTCGCTGAATGGGCCAAGGTATCTCTCCCATGGTGATCTTCTTTTACCTACCCTACCATTAAAATCTCCCATTACTATGATGTCCTCTTTCTCTTTAACATTATTGATGGTGTCCGTAAGTCTCTCGTAAAAGTCTTCTTTTTCTTCTTCAGAATAACTATCGTTGCAAGGTGCATATATCTGAATGATCGTTGTAGTTTTACTTCCTTCTGTCAACTTGATTAAAATAATTCTTTCTGATATAAATTCTGTTCCTGTTATTAATTTTGCTGTCTCGGGATGAAGTATAAATCCGACACCATGTTTTGCCCTATCTTTAGTGGGTACTCCGCTCCATAATAAAACATAATTTTCATGTATTTCTTTTGTATTATATCCTTTCTTTCTTGTATCCGCAAGACCCATGACGTGTATATTTTTTCTTTTCATGAAATCCACTATTTGTGGCTCTTTGTTGGCAATACCACATATGTTCCATGTGCCTATGTAAGTCGTTTTTCTGTCTCGTCGTCCTTTAACGTTTCCAGTCCATTTTCCGTTTGGGGCTGTCCGTTTATTTATCTCCTTTCTAATTTTCGTAGCAATAAAAAATCCACTGCCGGCTTGCTAGGCCAGTCGCAGTTTAAGGGAAAATCTGACCAGATGGACCCCATCCCATCTGGCGAGCCAGAGCCTCGTTCGCCTGTGGCCTCACGGCCACAGTTTCCCGGTCTGCACCACTGGGAGGAGAGGGAAAATCATCTGTGTTAGAAAATACATGAGATAGAGATTGACATGACTACCCAGGCCACACGATGGAACTATAAGAAGAAGTTCAGCCCATTTGGATTATATTTTGATATTAAGTTGTTTTTATTTTTTATTTTAATATTGGATATTTATGCATGCCAATTACTTTTAGTTGTTGAATATTACATAGATTATGTATTCATTTTGTAACCATACAGATTATTCGGTTCAATTTTTTTAAGTGCACTTCAAAAATAATTATTATAATCATATTGTGTAATCTATTCTTGGGAAGGTATACAATGTTCAGAGATCCCACTATTCTGTCTTGAGATTCACAAACACCGCATACGCAAACTGATGTTACTGTGATGTGCTGTTTGAATGTTCCCTATAGCGACAGTTATTCCTGTCATATATCTGCAAAGAATCTCTACAACAGAGCTTTCAAAACTTGTCATGTTGGTGACACACTTTTTCAAACAAGTATAATTGCGTTGCAGAGTAATTCAGCCAGTTATCAGACTAGATGTTAAACTAACACTTTATAAGAGATGCTGGGAGTCGCCGTTGTGTAGCGGCTAGACGCTTGCTTGCCGATCGAAAGGTCGTGGATTGGGTTCCCGACGGAACTAGTTATTTCACTTCAAAAATGACCTTGACTCCCAGGTCGACCCAGCCTTAAATGGGTACGGGGTGCAGTCCTGAGAAGTAAAGGGGAGCGGCGTGATGCTGACCACATCACCCACCAAGTGCCGATTGGTCTATAAAATATAGGTTCAGCCATTTATGCCCATAGGTCTAAAGCTTGGGAAAGGGCCCATCACTTTATAAGACATACAGACGTATAGACGCTTTACGGGAGTCGCCGTGACGTAGCGGCTAGACACTTCCGTGCGGATCGGAAGGTCGTGGGTTCGCTATCTTTTTTCCAAAATGACCCTAACTCCCAGGTCGACTAAACCTTGAGTGCGCACCGGGTCCAGTCCCGGAAAGTAGAGGCGGCCGGCTTGATGCTGACCACACCATCCACCAAGTGCCGTTTCATCTATAAAATATAGGTCTAGCACTATACGCCCTAAAGGCGCAGTAAAGGGTCATTTACTTACTTTTTACACGCTTTACGTTTGCGAGACACACCTAAACAATGCAGCCGACACACTAATGTCTCGCGTCACACAATTTTGACGACCTGAATAAGCTAAATCCATATTATTAGGCTAACTAAAACCGGGACTAAACATTTCCCCACTTATGATAGATCTTAAGCCGAACTATTGAACCAGCAGGTGAGAACAGAGAGGGAGGTCCATTTCTTGTTCTCTGCTCACCCTCAGAAGGGCTGTTGTCAAGTTGTGTTGTGGTTTACAGCCTCGTTAGCGAAATCCAGTATTTTCCACAAACACCCAGAATGCCAGCAAAGATAACAATAATTAGTAGCCTATTACGACGTGCTTGTTAAGGGTAAGGAGTCTAAAACTCCTCCACCCAAATGGTGCTCGGAACCCACACAATGAGGCCCACTTCCATCATCTTAGGCTGGTATTAGTCACCATCTTCCACAATAACCAGATGCTTAAAATAACCACAGCGGATCTAAAACAAGCTAAAGCTGGAGGAGTTGCGCCCACATTCAAAGAAAAGCCTAAAATCATCCAAGATCCATCGGGCAAGAACATCAACATCGAGTGCCACTGCACCGCCAGTCCGAAGCCTACTATCACGTGGTACAAAGGAGCTTCTGTCCTTGCAGCTAGTTCTAGAGTTGTCCCAACTGTCACAGAAAATGGCAACGAGTGCGTGCTAAAGCTGGAGATTCTGGTAAGGGTTTCGTCCTTTGAAATGAATGTACACTGTGTCATGTAAATAATTGGAAGAGGGCTGGTTTATCAGTTACAATACAGGGTTCTAATTTATGTTACCAGGATTTATTCATATCCTTGCTAAGGGGATATATATATATATATATATATATATATATATATATATATATATATATATATATATATATATATATATATATATTTGGACGAGGCAAAAAACGACAATTCTAGAAACATAGTTCGTGGGGACTTCACTAGACATGAGATCCTAAATCCGCAGGCCTAAGACTCGCATCAGCATTGTCCCAAAAGGTGGTAAATGCAAGCAAGAAAGGCAGACAGGCTTGCAAAGTATTGACACACTACCACTCACCCAGCCTGCATTGACTACTCATTGACATTGTCAGTTTACATTGACTACTCGAATGGCTATATCAGTCTTCTGAAGTCATTGCTATTAACGGTTCTCGTCCAATGAATGTCAAAAGTCAGTTGTGTATCCTGTACATGACGATGCAGAAACAACCCCGTATTTTTGGGGCGTTACTGTTGTGGTTTTTCTAGGCCTCATGTGAGGCTAGATTAATAGGTTTTTTAAAGACTATGTTGTTACTGTTGTTGTTGTTGTTGTTGTTGAGGAATGGATGAAAGTGGACTAGCTTTGATTTTGATGTAAGTGAGGAAAAGTGGCGAAGTTCGTCAACCTGACTCTCTCGCCCAAGTCCATCTAAGTCAAATGGCAAGACGAATCAAGATCTATGTATAGGATGTATAGACTGAGTATAAAACTAAAGAATATACGATGTGTGATGTGGTCAACGTCACGTAAAAAAAAAAAAAAAAACATTGACTAGAGTATAATAATGTTATGCAATAACTGTTTAAGTCAGAGCTCCTTGTCGTCTGAACAGCTTTGCTGATGGTATAATCACCATTCACACGCTGTCTTTAGCATGCTGTTTCCGCCCCCTTCCCTCCCCCAGCCTTTCCTCTCTGTCTCCCTCTCCACGGTGTATTTGTGTGTATGTGTGTGTGTGTGCAAGAGGGAAAGTTAAAAAATATGTAACAAATGGTAATGGGATGGATGGAAAATGTAGTTGGTGGTTTAAAAGGGTGTCATTAGGTGGCAGCAACATTGAACTTTATGTCTCCGTTCTTTAGGTGGTGCTAGGTGTTGCATGCGCATTCGCAACACAGAAAGAAAATTACGACTGTACTTACAGAGTGTATCCTCAAATAACAACGTTCTATTGAGCGTTTTTTTTAAAGGGGGTGGGGGGGGGGCGAAAGGACTGCCTGCAAAAGACATTCTTCATGTTAATGCTGATAAATGTTTATCCTGTAAAGTGGTGCAAAGCTGGGTTTTAAAAAAAATCTTAATGCGGTTGACATTTCGTGAAGTTGTATGTGAAGTGAAAATGTCGTTTAAAAAACAGAGCACGCAGTTCTATGCAGCAAGTGTGGATGAGTGGGTTGGGGAGTGGGGGGGGGGGCGATAAAACGATTGGACAAGTGCATCAATGTTGGTGGAAATTATGTTGAAGAATAAAGGCCAAGTGTGTGAAAAAATAAACAGTATTTAGGTTGTTATCGTGTTTAGTTTAGTTTTTTTAAACAACCATTTATCACTTACCTACTGACTTCCCCAGTCACAGAAAGAAAAGTTATTGGAAACAGACGTTTTGAATAGGGAGGTAGGTAGGTGGTTCGCTTGACCCACACAAAAATCGTCACATTCAATCAGCATCCCCATAGGCGGAGTTTAAGGTTATAATTGTGATTAGGTTAGGTGCGCAATATAAAATGGCTTAGCATTGCACGCCACCAAGAGTCCTGAAAAGGATTGCAGTTTTGACGCGATCAAAGGAGACCCATATACTGTCGCGACCAGCGACAACGTCGTCTACCGGCAAGCCAGTGGGCGTACCGGTGAGCGATAAAATGATTTGGATTTTTTTAATTAAAAAAAAAATCTATATGCTTTCTCACTATTACAGAATTTCACAAAAGAAGATGGCGGTCAGTACAAGGTGACAGCAAAAAATGATGCAGGGGAGGGGAATGCAAATATCACCATCAATTTAGAAGGGTAAGTGAAAACAATGCTTCATAAAAAGGTGTCATCTTGTATCAGCGCATTAGTAATCATTCAGAAATAAGAGCGACTATTTCCTTTCTATTATTTATTGTTTATTTTTCTTTCTCTGCAAGACTTCTCTTTTTAGTTGTGGTTTATTATTGGTGTTGACTTATTTATGATAAAGACTAAGTGGAAACGTTTGGTTATTTCTGAACTCATTTCCTTTCTCTAATCTTTGAGCTTTCTAATAATATAAAATGTTTTTAAAAAAGACAACCAAAAATTCGTGTCACTGTCACCATTTCACAATTAAAACAAATTACCTGCACCGATTTGTTGTTATCAATACTGTTTCAATTTATGTTATTTTCCTTGCATTTTTTGCCTGTCTTTCATGCTTTCTGTAATTACTTTTGAGAGACGCTATAATATTGTGGCTTGACGCCCGCCTGCAGTCTAAAGGTCGTGGGTTCAAATTAGTGCTGTACCGAATATTCGCTTTGTATTCGCTTCGGGGCCGAATAGTGGACCTAATAACTATTCGGTATTCGGCCGAATAGTTGCGGTCGGGCCGAATACGAATAGTGGTTACCTTACACCCGTTTCTGGACTGGTAGAAAAAAAACATATCACTATTTCCCACCTAGGTTCATACTGGCAAGCGTTATCTTTGTGCACCACCTACGAGCGTATTAAGTGTACGTCTGTTTAGTACGGCTGGAAATACCCTCAGTGAGACAAGAAGCTGCCTTAATGCTGACAACAGGGAACCTTTTTTACAAGTTTAGTTACTTGTTTTAAAACTAAGAATACTTTCATTCCTATGTATTAGTTACCACAGACTGACTGACTGAAGGATGCAAAATATGAAATGTTTTTAAATGTTTACTATTCTGTACTACATTTTGTGAAGTAAAATTTCTGCGTACATTTGACATTATGGACACGAAAGTGGAAGTATCGGCCTCAGTTTGAATAGTGGGAAGACAGAAGTAATGGTGGTATCAAAGAAAATAATTATTCATAAATGTGTAATAAAAGTCAATGTTTTTTTTCTTGTTTTTGTTGTTGTTGGGAAACAGTACAGAAATGTAAGTATATGGGCACATAGATAACATCAGATGGAAGATGCATTACTGAAATAAGCTCAGAATAGGACAGGCAGAATTGCATTTTATAAAATGAAGAACATCTTATGCAATATATCTTTGTCATTGAAGGTTAGAAAAAGAATTCTTGTTTGCTACATTCATCCAGTTTTAACATATCGCTGTAAGTCCTGGACAATCGGTGGGCAGGCCAAACAGTTTCTTGAGGCCTCAGAGATGTGGTTTTACAGAACAATGCTTAAAATACCTTGGACAGCCCAAAAAAAAAAAGGAACCAAGAGGTTTTGATAGAGGCGGGAGCCCGAAGACAACTACTCACAGACACCAGAAGGAGACAGTATCATTTTTCGGCCAGTTTTTAAGGTGAGGGAAAATGGAACATGTAGTGACCACTCGAAAGATTTGGGGAAGGAGGGGTAGAGGAAATCAACCGGAGAAGATTTTTGACAGGCTTGTTGCATGGCAAGGAGGTGTGTCAGCACACGAACTAATACATGCTGCAGGAGATCGCAGATTGTGGCGAGGCATAATCGCTTATGCCAGTCAGCAAAGCACCTGATGATGATGATTCACTATTCGTATTCGTATTCGGCCGAATAGTTGGTCCAGCTATTCGTATTCGGCCGAATAGTGAAAATCACTATTCGGTACAGCCCTAATTCAAATCCGTACGGAGCCGGATTTATCCCCTCAACATGACCCTGGTTTCCAGGTATTCTTCTTCTTTTTCTTCTTTTGTCGTCTCACTGATACCAGGTTGTAGCCCAGTGTCGTGGTTTTCTGTATTTGTCTTATGCTTCTCGGGTGGCTTGGGTAATGGATTTATTCATCTTTTTGCAGGTTTCAGCGACACATTTATCCATAACTTTCTTGGTCTTCCCATCGCCCTCCTCACAGAAAGTCTCATATGCAATTTTGTCTCGCTGCATTCTCACTAGATGGCCAAACATTTTCATTCTGTGTCTGTCAGTATATTCCAGGTTTGGTCTTATTCCAACTTTCCCTCTAATTCTGATATTCGTAATCCTGTCCTTTCTTGCATACTTGGGTATACCTATTCAGATCTACCTAGACTTAAATAAGTACCAAGTAAAGTCCGTGAAAGTCAAGGCGGCCGGTGAGATGTTGAACACATCACCAATATTATGCAGATTGGTATGAAATTGTAGGGATAGCCCTACATACATATTCAGTATGCCTAAAGGCGTGGAAAGGAATCCTTTACTTCTATTCCCTTTCTTTGATGTTCATTTGTGACTCCCGCAATCAAACATTTACGTGTCAAATCCATTAGGCCAAAAGAAGCAGCACCGGTCCTGGAGGGAAAACCAACCATTCGGTTGGATGATAACGGTACCGTGATACACATAGAGCAAGGGGTCCGCTGTACCGCACCACCAAATGTCACGTGGTATTTTGGAAACCAGCCACTGAAAGCTGATGGGCGGTTTAAGATGAACCTGGCGGAAGAAAAAGGAGTTTATCGATCAAGTCTTCAGATAACAAATGTGAGTCTTACTTTCATGTGTGTTAGTATGTGCAAATGTCTGCTTTCTTTAACGATATTGCTTGTACATGTGGGGTGTATTATGTAATCCCTAGCGATGTTAGTGATTGTTAGATATCCCCGTGCCTGCTGTTTGCAATACTGGAGGCCGAGTTAGGAAGTATAGACAGGGCAAACACACTGAATGTGCTGCGTTCCAGAGACGTTGAGGCAAAGGAGTCAGAGGTGATGAGCCTCTGTTAGAAGGAAATGGATATTAAACGATGTCAAGAAGGCAGAAACCGTTTGCATGACAAGGAAAGAAGATATACCAATCACCTCCTACTGGGTACGGTTGAGTTGAGTTGAACTGTTTCAAGAACTGACATCACTGAACTCTGGGCATTCCTATAAGCGCTCCGCCACCATCTTCAGCAGCCAGCGCAGAGTTCGATATCAATCGTACTAACAGCATTATGATTATACGTTGGTCTTGCCTTTCCTCTGAGCGTCGAGTATCGACCAGATCCCATAGTCATCCCCTGCAGAATCACTCTCACCAGACTGGTGACCCATTTGCTCCCCCGAACTGTAAACGTTCTCTCACAGGGCCTTATCTACGTCTGCCTTGTCATGCATCAGTACAAGCATGGAGACACTGAGATGGCTACTGTATCGGGAGACTGACCACCAGTGGAATCGAACCGATGGGTTAAGATGTCGAAATTGATAAATAGTCAAAAGTAACTATTGTTCCTACTGTCCTCTACTACAGCAGCCATCATGACATGCCTGGCTAACTATTTAATTTCAGGGCTGCTTCTGACAATTTGACTTCCGTAGCACTCCCTCATTTTTAATGGCAAGTCCCACATACACCGTTCAGTCTCATAAAAAGGTATAATTAGTTACACTAAATACTATCGTGATATACATATTCCTTACGTCCTTCTTAGGACGTTATTTTTTGTTATTTGAAGCCCCACTCTGGCTATTGCCAGGGGCCGCAATATAGGCAGGTCATCATTATGGCCAAATGTCTGAACGCGGTTTCTGGGACCTCTCCACGGTGATCCTCATCCGCATGGTGGCACTTTGTGTCATCGGGTGTTTATCGCTTGTGTGATGTCCTGGTGGGGTAAAAAGCCAATCCAATCCACTATCGTGATGTGCCCTACTGCCCAGTATGGGAAATATGGAATTTAGCATCTTGAGGTACTGAATGTTTCTTCGATAATTTAATTTATAATCAAAGCAGTGTTTCCCCGTTGTGAATTTGAACAAAGAAGTCACAAACAATCGACTGCACAATTTATTGCATGGCATATTTCGTTGTATCTCTCATTTATTCAGGCAATAAATTGTGCTGTCTATTCAATTTATAATATCTACCTGAACCTTGCAGGCGTCTTTGATTTAGGCGTTGCGAACGCAGTTCCTAATTCCGAATACCGCTTCGATTCCAGCTGCGGGCGATAAGATAAAAGACCACCTTGCGTTGATTTCTACATGGCTATCGAGAGCCGACAGTTTCGATTGCAAAGAAAGACTACAGAACATAAAATTGCCTGGAAAAACCACAACAGCCAACAAATGGTGGGGTTGGTTCTGCAAAGTCCTGTAAGGGACACGTAACTAACTTTTTTATTTAATTAACTATAACCTCTAAGATGACATAGATTTTTACATGATAATGATGTTAATGATGATGATGATGATCATCATCAAATTCCACTTTTACCTTGAAGCATCATGAAGATGATCAGTTTGCGGTCCAGCGCTGGATGTGCAGCTCTGGTTATGGTCATTCTGTTTGGATACATTAGGTCATCGTCGTCTTGGCCATGTCCCTGTTGTCACATCAGATATTTGCAGATGTCGGGCATGTGTTGGTAACTGTGATCGCTTTCTAACAAGATGACCAAATCCTTAAATCTTTTGCTTCAATATCCAGAAACCATGAGTTAACCCTTTGGCTCGGTACTATGGATATAGCAACCCTTCGGCCTTGATAACATGATAGAAATCGTAAATCTGGGAGAATTTCCTAGTTTGGCCCATGTAGCAGATATATATATTATACATGAGTGTGTCTGTGTATGTGTCTGTGGGGCGGGGCAGGTTCATTGTCCAATGAGGTGGCGATAGTACTTGTACTCCCCTTCATATAAGTACTTCATTTAACCATCCTATCTGTTGATCACAGAAGGATCACAATTGTCGTTTCTCTGTGTTTGGATTACAGTTTACAGATAAAGACTCTGGGTCCTACAAGCTTGTCTTAAAGAATTCTGGAGGAGAAGCAACATCCACAGCATCAGTTAATGTTTCTGGTAAGGATTGTGTACATTTCGTGATTTTAATAGTCTCATGCTTTCTTTAATTTTAAATACAGGCTTTAGATCGAGACTTCA